GGGGGGGTGGGGGGGGGTGGGGGGCGGAGGCGTACTCACGTGTTGCATGCCGTTATTGATCGACAATATCGCTGAGCCGCATTCACAACTGAACTTGTCGTCCTCCTCGTCGCCCTTCCTAAATCTCCGCGTTGTGCCTGTGTGTGGGGGGGGTCGCCGATAAACCGGTTCCATTCTCCGGCGCACCCAGTTTGCCGCGGAAGAGAAAAAGATGCATGATGACGACAAAAAGAAGCCCTTCAGGTGGCTTCCTTGCCTAGGAGGTGAGAGGCGCCGCGAGTGGCGTGCCAGGCATGCCTCATTTCTCGTTGTCGATGATGTATCTGTCTCAAGTTCCCCCTCCCCGGCATCTCGGTCGATGTTGTTGCTGTGATCGTGACGCGCGTTAAGAAACGTTCCGATCTACATTCAGGTGTCAGGTACGCAGCTGTTGCATCCCCTACGCCAAGAATGGCTTTCCCGCTAGATCATTTCGGGGGAGAGTCTGGGTACACGGCTGACTATCCTTACCTTTTGTTCGTTGCCCAACCAACGAACCTGATCCGATCCTGTCCTTCAAATGTCCCTCCGTCCCGATACTATTTACGATTACGGGGGTTTGTGGGCGGCGCTGCAAATATCAATTCCCCTCAACCAAAGGCCCGGTCGATGACGACTGCTTCTATCACATAGCTTTTCGGGAGAGCGTCAGGGAGTACACGGTAAATTCTCCTGTAGTTACGCCATGGATCGTCAACCAACCACAGAGGCTGATCCGACCCCGTTCTTCATTCTTACTTCGTCCTGATTCTACTCCCGATGCGCGGGGCAACAAACACTTGTTTTTTTATATCTTCCAACACCAGCCACAGACTCGGTCGACGATGAGTCGGAAGTGGACGTGGACTCGAACCTGCAGGAGGTGAAAGCGGGCAAGGTCGACAAGGACGGGAACTTCAACAACTGGGCCTCCACGGCACCTTCTAAGCCCGGGAAGGTTATCACCCCCAAGTCTGTGTCGGAGGTGCAGGACATCCTGGCTGAGGTGAGTTGTGGCAGAAGGCGTTGTGCTGTACAGCTGCTTTGTGTAGATAGATGCTGTACTACAACTGGTTTGGCAGATAACAGGTGTTGTGATACATGTGCCGCTCTATTGTAATGTTTTGGGTTGGTTAGGCATGCTGTGCTATTTATGTGGTATGCCGCTCTATTTGAAAGGTTGCGTTGGTTGGGCAGATAGATGCTGTGCTATACCACTCCAATAGGCGTTGTACGACAACTACCCTCGTTGAATGTTGAGGTGAGTGTGGGCAAGATGGATGTTGTGTTATAGGTGCCAGTCTGTCCAAAATAATGACGGCATATCGGACGCAAACGGGAGTATCACAATGGTCTCTATATTTCCAACGATCCCCATTGTTCCAAACAGAGTGATACTGCTGTAGTTTATGTAGGTCTACTAATGTGCGATTTTGCAGTGCGGGGGCGGTGTGTACAACATGCAGCGTGCGGGATCAAAAGCCTCTTGACCAACGCCGCAGGGTCCCACAAAGGTGCCGGGTGCCGCAGCATCGCGACGTTCTTGTTGCTTTCCACCATGCCGCACTTCTCGGCCGATACAGTATTGCAGTAGCGCACCTATTTCTTCTCGTAAACAGGAAACGTTACGGTGACATTGAATAACACAAAGGAGCAAGGTCGATGTACACACGCGTTGGAAGCGAGAGCTCAAGAAAATTCCTTGTTTCACTTTTCAGTAGAAACGGCAACCACAATAACAACGACAGCAAGCTGGTCCTGGTGCCACAACGCGGCGCCGCCGCCCAACTCATCGTGCTCCTCAGGCCAGAGCTTTGGCTCCCTCGCCCAAGATACGATGCACCGGTTCGAGCCACTCGTGGACTAACCTCTTCGCGGACGACGGTGCCTGGCTCGTGGACACGACCGGCCTCAAGGACATCGTTTGGAGCGCGGACGAAAACCCGACACAGGTAGACGCCTACCCAAGCACCCCACAGGGAGGTGGCACGTGCGCACGTGATACCGCTCTATTGTACGTAGACCTGTCCTCTTTTTTTCACATCTTTTTTTCTGATTACCTTTGAAGAACAGCAAAACCCAAACTGGTGACTTAAATTAACAAATTGTTGGTTGACCAAGCTTTCACCGCTGTATCCCTGTTGGGTTACCAATCGACTTGCCTCTAAGCAAAAGCAAACCGAACAGCACTATGGCATGTGTACGGGGAGCTCGCACGCCATAAAAAGAGGTCAAACGCATCTTCCATGTCGGGGTTAGCCAGCCAGTTCTCACTTTTTCACATCCCCCGCCGTGTCCTCTTGGTATTTGTTCTTCTCATGGTCGTCCGTCCGTCCGTCCGTCCATCCGCCCGAAAAACAAAACGAACAACACGCCAGGTTAAGGTCGGACCGGGAGTCACCGGCGGGGAGCTGGCGACCTTTTGCGACTCGAAAGACAGGTGAGACAGTCCATTGTCGTCGTCGCGGGATCTCAGCATGGATACATTGCACACTCGTTCTCGCGCAGGTGGGCGAGAAAAGGTGCAGTGAGTCATTGGTGCAGTGCGGTGTGGTAACGCTTGCTGTCGATCGAGATATTTTTTTTTGGTTGTTGTGGTAGACGATTACACGTCGGTCGATGAGACGAACGGCGGCACGATAGAAAAGTTTACCGTGGGATCTGATGACAAAATCTCAATGAGAAAAATCTCATGAGATTTTTCATGGAGCACCATGAGAGTACGTACTTATGGTTTGGCATGACGTTCTAGACCATGAACCATTAACGTTTGCTTGGTACGACAACGTGATGGACATCGTCGACAATTTTCAACGAACACAACGCTTCGAAAACGGGGGGAGGGGGGGGCTACGCGTAACGTTGGCACGCCGCCTGGAAACCGTCCCGGCCTAAACCTTGTGGGCCCTATCAGTGAACCGGATACGACCATGCAATCAATACAACTACTCAAAGGCAGGCGTGTGCGGTAAACGAACAATTTTGATCGAACGGACAATTTATCTCAAGATCAAAGTCGGGCGCTGAAAAACCACCCCAACGTCTTCTCAAGCACTACGGACTATAATCGTCTGGCATCGCCTGCTGTACCGCTCTTGTTTTCGGCAGGGGCGAGTGGCGGGGCATGTTTATCCAGTCTGACGTCATCCTGGAGACGGTCACGTACGGAGGCGTGGTTAACGCGGCTTGCCACGGCGTCGGGCAGACACAGGTAGGTTAGGTGTGCTGCCGCCCTTTTTGATCCTCTTTCTCAGTCGCTGTTGTTGTTGTTGTTGTTGTTGTTGTTGCTGCTGCTGTAAGTGTGCTGCAATCCGCACACAAGCGTTGGGGAGACTGTACCCTTTTCGGAACGTCAGCATACGGACGGGCCTTGTTATGACTACTTCAACATGAATAAAATTTCTCTGTGACCCCGGCTGATAAGCCCGAAGGGCGTACTACATACAACTGCAAGGTCCGTAAACTGGTGCCAGAATACATGGGGACGAACACACACATTACAAAGACGCGATCCGATGCTTTCTTGACGGTTTATGCTCGTCCCGGACTGAAAGAACCACCATACACATTATTTCTGTCCGTGGAACAAATGCTTTTACTGTAGTAGGGCGGCGTTGTTCCAAGGAGATATGTACACTTCCGACACTGATGCACGCGAGTGGGGGGAAGGTATACCCTACTACGTTTCGCCTGCCGTGCCTGCCGTGCCTGCCGTGCCTGCCGTACCTGCCGCAGACCGTCTGCGACTACGTGGTGGCGACCACCATCATCACGTGGGACGGCAAGAGGGTCGAGCTGAGCAGGGTCGACGACCCTGAAGGCTTCGCTTTGAAGATCGCCCACTTCGGCCTCCTTGGGATCACCGTGGGTGAGCGAAGGAAACGGCGTTCTTGTTTCTTGTCCGGTACTGTCTGTCTGTCTGTCTGTCTGTCTGTCTGTCTGTCTGTCTGTCTGTCTCTCTCTCTCTCTCTCTCTCTTTCTCTCGCTCTCTCTCTTTCTCTCTCTCTCTCTCGTCTGTCTATATGTTAAGGCTTGTTCAATTCATTCTTATTCTAACTGCTTCTAGAAATGTCCCGAAATTCCCCACTTCCGCCCCCCCCCTCCCCCCCATCTCTGTTGTGTTGCCTGCACCGTGGAACCCACCCTGAATCTATCATTCTCCTCCTCCTCCTTCCCCCCGTTCGTTTGCCGCAGACTTCACGTTTCAGCTCGACAGCGCGCGCACCGCAATCAAGGTGACCGATCGCAAGCAGCGCGCTAGGGAGACCTTCCTGGAGAAGGGGCAGCTGCCGGCGGAGGGGTCGAGCAACCCACTGCTTGACCTGTGGAACGAGAACTACGCCGTCGAGATTTTTTACTTCCCGTCTTCGAGCCTGGAGATCACCAACGTCCTGAGGTATGTTGGTACATATGTTGGTACCGAATCGGTGTGTGTATCCTGTGTGTGTTGATTGGCCGCGCTTACCCGCTGGCCAATAAAAAGACTTCAGTCTCAGTGCGGTTGGGAACACAAAACACTTCGAAATAAAGGCAATGACCTGAGACCCCCCAGAAAGGTGTGCGCGCGTGTGTGTCACTGATGTCGCCGTGCAAGACAGACAGACAGAGACAGAGAGAGAGGGGAAGTGAGATAAGTGATGGCTCACGACATCAAGATTATTGTCTGCACGAGTACCATAGGCGGCATAAAACATCTCATCCCCTGGAGGAGCGATTTTTTATTTTCGGAGCTCGATTACTCCACGTACCACAGAGAGAGAGGGAGAGAGAGTGGTGGTACCGAAAATGGTGGGGGGTCGGAACTGTCTCGTCGAGGTCATACGCGTCGTCGATGTGTACATGCTTCTTTTTCTTGTGTGTTGACATACTCAGCATATAGTAGTTTTGAGCATAAGCTCTTGATATACCACCAAGTTCTTTGCTGCCAGGTTGATTCCCTTGCTGCCAAGTTAAGTTCTTCAATTTCCAAGCAAAGTCGTTTGTTTCGCGGGCGGGCGGGCGGGCACTATCTGTATTGGTTTTCACCGCCGTTGTGCGACGTGTGCGTGGCCGCTGCGTGACGTGTCCTCCTCGTGTGGTTGCTGTGTCCTCCTACCCCCCCCCGGAGCAGCCACGAGTTCGAAGATCAGGACTGGGACGAATACGACGACATCTGCACTCTCAAGATATTCAACCGCACGGACAACGCCGTCGGTAAGGTAAGCAAATCCCCCGTCGGTTATGTAAACAATTACATATCCCGCCATTAAGGCAAGCAGTTGCCCTGTCGGTGTGGTAGGCAATTACCCGCCCGCTAAGGTAAAGCAATTACCCCGCCCTTGACATGGCAACACCGGGGAACATGACACGGCCTACAAGCAGGAGAGAAGCGGTATTTGGACAATATTGAGGGAGGTATGGAGTTTACCCCCAGGGATCAGCTTTCCCGCGGTATAGGATGCGGACTATAAGCAGGCGAGAAATGTTTTTTGTTTATCGTCACCAGCGCTCACTTTTGCACAACACATCTGCCGTGTAACTATGTACATAGACAGAATGAGGAGGAACGTTGTTGAGCCACATTTGATGGAAAAGTAGAAAGGAACGATTGGCCATGGGTGATCGGTCTTGTGGGAATAATGCTCCGGCCGCTCGTGGGCGCGTAGTCACTGGTCTAACAGCGGAGGCATGCAAAAACACAGAGCACACCCTCCCCCCCCCTGTCCAGACCATGCATTCGGTTGGCGAAACGATAACAGGTTCAGGCGATGCGTGAAGTCCTCCTGGGTCTGCTGCTCCTGGTAACGTAACCTGGGGCCCCTCGGTAGTGGCGGTATGCACCCGACGAATCGTGCGTCAAGTCGTGCAGAACGTCAAGAGTGGCGTTCGCGTTTTCATCCGATCGATTTGGATCTTGAGACAACCATGACGACAAGGGGTCGGCACCCTATCGCCACCACCACCATTGTAACAAGCAATAAGCAACAAAGCAACAAGCAATAAGCAACAAGCAACAAAGCAACAAGCAACAAAGCAACAGGATTCAAGTAGAAACAACGACGCCTCCGCTGTCAACACGACAACGACAAAAGGAGCAACAAGCAAACAACAACAAAACCACAACAAAAACAACCATATCGAAACGACACGAAACATTCGCCAACGAGCACGTTGAATTCTTGCCTTGTTTTTCTTGCGACGCGACAGGACGATGATTCGTTCTGGGGGAAGGATCAGAAGACTTCGACGAGGTTCGACCACAACTTCAGCATCACCGACTTCCTCAAGATCAATCTGGGCACCAAAGTGGCACTCAACCTCGTGAGTTCTACCCCCCCCACCCCCCGTCTTTCTGTGTCTGTCTGTCTGTCTGTCTGTCTGTCTGTCTGTCTGTCTGTCTGTCTGTCTGTCTGTCTGTCTGTCTGTCTGTCTCTCTGTCTGTCTGTCTCTCTGTCTCTCTGTCTCTCTGTCCCTCTGTCTGTCTCTGTCTCTCTCGCTCTCGCTTTGTCTCTCTCTCGCTTTGTCTCGTGGCCTTAACGATCTATCTCCTACATGCATCTCTTTTCAAAAAAAATTCCCTGTACGTGTTTTGTGTCTTGTCTCTTCATCCTTACTGTCTCTCATGGACGTGTGTGTGTGTTCAACAGTCACATCATCATCATCATCATCATCATCAACAACAACAACAACATCATCACCGCCTCTTTCTGTGCTGCGGTTGCTTTCCGCATGAACAACGTGTGCTGATTTACCTACAGATTCAGAACTTCGGAGCGAAGCCCGCCCTGGTGTCTCTTTACGCCAAGACAGCCGCCAAGGCCTTCGAGCCGGTCTTCCAGACCACAGGGGAAGTCTCCTACGAGACGTCGTTGGCACAGGTAAGACGAGGGCGGGGAGGACCGGGTCTACCCATGTTTTGCGTGCCTTGGCGGCTAGACCATTGACCACGCGTCCACGGGAGGAAAGGGAGGAGAAGGAGGAGGAGGAGGAGGGGTCAAGAGTCGATTAGGCGTACCGCGCGGCCAAAGGACGCTTCGTAACTAGCGTAACCTCGCCAGCGTAACCTCGCCAATTTCCCCTTCTTCTCTTGTGAAGCAAGATCGGCTTACGTTTTAGCAGCTCACGCGTTGTCGTTTGTGTCCTTGCGGCATGGGTCTATGTTGGCTGGCGCAGCGCAATACAATTTCTTTTTTCTTGCATCTGAGGCTGACGATGTAGTGAGTTGCTTTTACCGCAATTTGCTCTTTTTGCTTTATGTACCCTTGTGTGGGATGGTTTGCTGTACACCCGCCAGGGTAGAGCCGCGCGTTTCCCCTCTGCTTTTTTACGCTTGCAGAAGGTTGCATATTTTTTTGCGATGGTTCCAGAGAGCACCACAATATCATAGCCGTGGAACTGCTATGCTGCTGTTGCCTGGCTGAACGTGACCTAGACTTAGCCCCCGTCCGATAACAGTCTAATGGTGGTATGCTTACCCGTGTCGAGCGGCGGCCCGTTCATGCACCAGCCCGTTCGTTCCAGTCCCAAGGCAGCACCTGCAATCCCGCCACCCCAGCGCGCCCCTCGAATTCGACATGGGGATACACTGAGAAAAATAGTACCAAAAAGAGACCCCCGTCACTACCTTGGCTTAAGTCGACACCGGGTATGGTCTACGCGAACAAGAGAAACATGTGACGAGAGTCCGGATTGAATGCTAAATATATCAGAGATAGTGTTATACCTCCCGAAGTGTGTGGTAGTAATCCTTGCCCTCGCCCCCCTCTGCTTTCCCTCGCGGCTTGATCAACGCCATGTACTTGCGTGTGCGCGCTGGTGGGTTGTTTGCCGCGTCCTTTATTGGTCTGGTTGTGGAACGCGGTCGTGCCGACCTCGACGTCCACGTCGACGTCGACCTCGACCCCCAGGCGATCCACTGGCAAAAGTACATCACCGACGGCCTCCCCGTGTCCGACACCGAGGTGAGACAAACCCACACACACACAGAGAGAGAGAGAGAGAGAGAGAGAGAGAGAGAGAGAGAGAGAGAGAGAGAGAGAGAGAGAAATACGGACATGTATCATGTACACGCAGGCGTTTTTGTCGTTGGTGGTGGTGGTGCTTTGATATCTATCATCAAGGCCTCCGGTGTGCCTCAGGGTGTGTCATTTATTTTCTTGCTGCAATGGTATTATGTAGTTATCTTACCATACAACAAATGTGGTCTACGCCGTCGACAAGTTGCCGGTTAACAATTTTGTCTATCCTCCGGCGGCTGGGCGAAAAAAAACAAGGAGTCCTTTACCGTCACTTTCCCGCCAATCGCGGTTGTCCTGTACAGGGTGGGTGTCTGCTTCTCGCTCTCATTTCTTCTGTGGTCGAACACAGCACCACCCCAAAAGTCGATTGTTCTCGTCGGCGACAAGCGTCTTCTCCCCCGATGGAATGGTCCGTCCGGTACACGTCGACGACGTTATCATCGCTCTTCTTCTTTCCTTGCGTCATTGTCGTCTATTTCGTTGCGCTGTCGATATTCTGATTCTTTTTTTGTTGTCAGGTGTGCATAAAGTGCGATCCAGACTTCACCAGGTAAGCGACAAGAGGTTGGCATGTGCACTAGATATTGCAGCCCTGGAGTCGGTCGATTTTTCGCGTCACGGCAGTATAAATAGCGTTTTAATGGGGACAGGCCCTGGTTTTTCTATTCTTTTCCGATGGGATGTGCATCAAGCAGCAGTGGCACCGACGAAACTTTGGCGGGTGATTGGTTGTAAGCTTGAGATAACGGGCAAGATGTGGACTGCGCTCACCCTCCCGTTGTAGTTAGCTGGAAGAGGACGAGAAGGCCGCGTCCCCGTGGGGTGGCAGGATGATGGAGCACCTGTGTGTGTGCTGCATCGTAGTGTGTCATGACTTGGCGCACTGCCATGTTCATCGGTGATGACCATGCCTTCACATGCAGCCGTTCCGTTGGAATAATACCGTTTCGTGTCACCGCAGTAGGTACGTGTCCTGCAGCAACATTAGCACCAGGCGAAAGGCGTGCTTATGAAAAAAACTCTGCCGTACAGCCCGAAAAATACAGCAACATTTCCTGTGTCACTGCTACAAATTGTCGATTGTGACTACTGTACATCTTCCTGCTTTGATATATTACTCTTGACACGATGTTTCTTTCGGCGCTGCAGCGCGTACAAGGCCGTCCACGAGACGATCGCCATCGTCAAGAAATTCGCTGAGGTGGAGGACACGATGCCGCTCAACGTTGCTCTGGAGATGCGCTTCACCAAGCACAGCGATAGCCCACTGAGCCCTTGCTACGGAGTCGAGGTGATTTGTCCCCCCAAAACAAATCGGACATAATATATAGCGTTAAGAGTGGGGATCAATTGTCCCCGAAATACTTATGGGAGAGATTTGAGTACCCTTTGTGAAGGATATCTCAACCTTGGACCATGTATATTCGGCTTCAGATCGTCAGACCAGGGAAATCGAGGGGCGCAGTGTCTGCCGTATCGCCCCCCCCCCCCCCCCCCCCCCCCCCCCCCCCCCCCCCCCCCCCCCCCCCCCCCCCCCCCCCCCCCCCCCCCCCCCCCCCCCCCCCCCCCCCCCCCC